CCTCGTATTGTTGAGCGACGAGCAGTAATCGAGCTTGTCAAAGGAGATGATGTTGTAGGCGTCAGGGTAGGTCAGTGTCAAGTGTCGTACAAACCAGCAAGCGCTGAGAGTGTTAGCATGGCGCGACACCGGCCCAGCGGCTGGGTCTGGATCTAAGGACAGCAACTCACATGAACCCGGCGCCGCCTGTGATCATGATGTTTTTGACATCATCCAGAGGCTCATACTTGGTGCTACCTGTGAGCAGCGGCGCTTCCTTCCAGATGCCCCCATCCTCAAAGAATTTGCGATGGCTCTGGCTGTATGCTGACCAGGCGTTGCGCGTCAGTAAGTGAGGCAGACTACGACGTGTACTGAGCGGCTCACCTGATGCGCCATTGGATTTGAGTTGTGTCATTGCGAGGATGTCTAGGGTGATCCCGCGAGCCAGGATACTTCACGTTATCGCGTATTGATATCAGGATCAAGAGGGGCAGCGGCGCGGAGAGATTGTTGCGCGAATGGGACGGAAACACAAGCGGATGAGAAGAGAGGCGCTGTTGTTGTAGCTCGTGTAATCCTTCAGAACCCAAACGCAGGGCTGGGGGCGACGAAGAAGGTGTCGTTGGGGTCCTACAGTTGCTTTTCGTCTCAGTAAGGTACCTATTATGAGATCAGGGTCTGAACCCTGCCTACGCCTGTGATCACCATGATCGTGCGTTGCGCCCAGTGGGGGTACTCCTGCTCACTCACCTATTCCTAGACGGTACAAACGAAGATCTTCTCTTCTTGGTAGTCTACCAATAGACGAGCATACCGAACGAGTCGTACAGATGTTGGCGTTTCGTCTCGGAAAACAAGCTACGCCTCGCACGGAGCACGCACGTTCAGGTGGCCTGTAACAGGCAGGTGAAGGTGAAGCCAGGGAGGTTGCGAGTGCTGGCGGGCAGTGTCTTGGCTGACTTCAAGCAGCTGGTCAGAGCGTCTCTGTTATCGCTTTGATAATAGTGAATCGACGTGTTGAAAGATGATGTGTCGAGGATGGTGGGCGCGACCTGGCAGGTACAGACGAGGCGAATTGGCTTCTCCTTCCCCTCAAATACCATGGGAGCCTCGGAAGACTGTCGTCAGGAAGTTTAGCGAAGCCCTGGTCATTCTTTGACACGTCGTGATCATCCACGCCAGGCACAATGTGCCCCTCGCATGGCCTTGCACATTTAATAATCTCGTTGGCAAGGCTAGAAAAGTTTCCTTGAATGTCTGGGGATCAGGGGCGGTCGTGCAAGTGCGGCGCTAACGAAGCAGGTGGGGGTCGCGACCCCTGAATCGTAAAGTTGACCTGCGACTGACTTTTGAGTGAGTGCCAGGCACACACCAAGCGGTGGCCAAGAGAAAACATGGTTCCAGACGCCCAGCTCAAAAGCTCACACTCTCGGCCAGGAACACGCCTGCAAAACAGCATGTTGAGACCTGGCATATCCCAGCGTTCTGTTTGTGTGTTTCGCAAGCACCAAAGTCAAAAAGGCCACATGACACTTTTTTTTGGCAGCCGTTGTTACCTGGCCAGTGCTAGGGTGACGAGTTTCGCTTTGGAAGGTTTATGTAAATGCAACCATGATCAGTAAGTCCCACACCCCCAACTCCGCGCCCCCCCAACTCCGCGCACCAAAATCGACGAACGAATAGCAGCGTAGAATAGTAGATAATATTAATTGCTTACCTAATAGGGCTTATTCTAATAGAAATTCCGAGTACTAAGACTTAAACTCAGCTTCCTAATACTTAATAAGCGTTACTAACGGTATATAGAGGGCCTACGCCTTTAATTAAGCAGCCTTAATAGCCTGGATATTAGTGAACCTTAAGTTAGGCTCCTAGGCTACCCTCGTCTTCCTATAGGGCTTATATATTTCTAGTTAAGCGCTTAATTAAGCTATTCGGAGGCCTACTTTTACTATTTATATATCCTTAATATCTAGAGATTTCCCTACCTTTATAAATAAGCGCTACGTAGCTCGTACCGAGGCCTTTAATATTATATAGATCCGAGATAGCGTAGAATAGCTTAACCGTAGATCCTTCGCCCCTCGTAGCGTTTATAAAGTAAAGTCTATATATTTCTACTACTTCTAAGGGGTCTCTAAGCGTATAGGATAGCCCTCGTCTATTATCTAAGAGCTTAAGAGAGGCCGAAGTAAACTTATTAGCTATAAGCTAATTCTATACTATTTACCTATAATATTATTATATATAATAGCGTTACGCTTAGCCTTCTAATAATAGAGAAGGAAGTTCCGTTTATTAATAAGCGACGTATTAAGGAGGTAAACTATGCTCTTAAGATACTTCCTATATACTCTCTTAAAGGGGCTAAATATAGAGAGGTTAAGAGGCTATATAATATAGCTCGAATACGGGGGTAGGAAGATAAAGAGGATATTCTCTTAGAAGGACTCCTATAAGAAGTCGTTAAATACGTAACTCCTATAGCTATCTATTATAAGGAGGCGAGGAGATTTAAGCTTAAGGGCCTTAGCTTATATTTAAAGGATAAAGATCTTTATAAGCTATTCGAGGCCTATTATATTATTCGTCTATCTATTAATTATTATAATAAACTTCTAATTACTAAAGTTATCGAGGGCTTTAAGGAATTATTATTATTAGAGCGTTTTCCCCCTAAAAATAATAAAGGGAGGGAGGGCCTCGCTTATAGTAGATACGTACTTAATAATAGTAGTCTAAGAGCATAAATCGGCCGTCTATATATAATATTTCCGATACCCTATTTAGCTTAGAATTAGGCTATTAATTCCTATACCCTCTATAATACTTATCTCGTTTATATTAAATCGTAAATATAGAGGAATAGCCTTAACGTTAAGGGCGTTAAATAGAAGGAAGAAATCCTTAAGACGTTAAATAGTAACGCCCTTAATATAACTAGTTTCTATTCGCTTACCTAGGAGGGTCGTAATAGAGGGATTTCGCTATTTAAAGCCTTCTATCTAATACCTCTTAAGGGGAATATCGTCCCCTTAAGCGAGGAGGATCTAATATACGAAGTCGAGGACTTAAGAGTATAAAGGGGCGAACCTTAGGGCGCTTTATTTAACGATCTAACGGGCTAGGTATTATTCCTAAATTTAACTAAGCCTCTAATAAGGAGCTTTTGCTTTACGGATCGTTATTATGCCCTTAAGTCTCCCTCGAAGCGTTATAGTAGGAACGTTCTAATTATACGAGGCTGTTACGACCTGGCAGCTTCCGAAGGGGGAACACTGCCAGAGGGTTGGGGTTGCTGTTTGCAGAAGCTTAGGTTGTGACTCTGAGACGATGTGGTGTCGTAAGGCGTTGCGCACTCGTTACAATGAATACAAGGTAAGACTTAGATTGATCACTGTCGTGAGAAAGAATGTATCTACAAGTCCAGAATGTCCGTCCTTATATACCTGCCATCCTGTCCTTGTTGTGTTAGGTGGTGAGCTCATGTTGGATGGCTCACTGGTTAGTTGTTGGTGATCCATGATGTTAGGATCACGGTGTGTTATCCCGTGAGCCATTCCCTGGCTCACTGCGGCGTCCTTGGTGAGCCCGACGACTCACCCTTTATGTCTGAGTGAGCCATCACGTGATTTGCCAGGTGGGCCCGATTCTTATCTTATCGCGCTCCCTGATCGCGGGGTCGTCGATTCGCGGCCGCCCTGCTTCCTTGGTTGTTACAGAGGCCTTACGTATCGAGTAGCTATTACTAATAGCCTGAAGCGCATTTAAAACGTCTTCTTTAGTATAGCTCTTTATTCTGAATTTAATAATATAGTTAGCGTAACTATTAGACGAGGGGTAGGTGAGATATTGCGATATACGTACTATTGGGGGGCGATTTTCGGGTGTTGAAAGTAGGTAGAATTGGTGCGCGGAGTTGGGGTGGCGCGGAGTTGGGGGTGTGGGACTTAGTGAATACTACAGTTCATGAAACTCTCCGGAGCAGATGGCATCCTCCGTCCCTCAACGATTTGTCGTTCTTCCAGATGCTAGGTATATGTAATTGCTGCGGTTTCGATGCCATTGCGTGAAATGTATGAGGTCTGTAGCCGAGTGTTCCGTCTGAACTTTACAGCAAACATCGTCTGATGGATGAACCTTATCATAGGTAGGTAGATAGGTATAGTAGTACTTGTAGGCGAGGCACGTAATGGCGCGTGGATGGCTCCGCACATCTTCCTTTGAACGCCGTCATCCCTTGAGGGCAGTTTCCGATTCATCAAGGGTTCGACGTCTAGCCACTGGGCTCTGGAGAAGGACGGCCGCTCGAATTGTCGCCCACGGTGCAGAGAAGTTCAGGGTGATGATCGGACCGCGAATTCTAGCATGGCGACGGCTCGAACAGGACCAGTTGATGTATGTGCGGCTCCTTCGGGTCAATCACGGACAACGGTCTTGTAAGACTGGTTTCGTGGCGATGCACTGTTTCAGAGCCCCAAGGACCGACCCCGGGCTTGGACGCCGCTTCCTCGGTACTTGTAGCTCCTGCCACCCGAATCGAGACCACCTACCAAGCAAGTACCACACAAGCTTTCTCAACAAGTCTGGTAGTAGCAGCCATTTATGTTTTTTCTTCTTTTGGAAGGCATCCCTGCCTCCCCCTGCATCTGTTCGTCTGCCCACGCCCTTGTTATCGCGTTTGAGTCGTCCTAGCGCAGTCGGTAGCCAAAGCTTGGCTAGGTACCTAGGTACCTAAGGTGCATGTAAGTGTTGCCTCGATAGATCTTCACCTTTGGACCGCAACAGCGAGAACACATTGCGTCGCACGAGACGTGGAAAAGCCCACTTCGTCTCAAAAGTGCGAGTCTGTGAAGTTGTCTCTCCTGATAATTTCCAAGCCGAAGAGTCATTCCGGGTGCCTATCTAGCAGCTAGCCCGCATGTTGACAGCCCTGACCATCTCTCCTCCCTTCTAGCCTGTCTCGCATTCCTTCCAGTGTCCGGCCTTTGGGACGCGCCCTTACATGTACACCAGGTACGACCAACACGGCTCTTAACCACCAACGGCTCGTACCAAGACGCGCGCGTTTCTACATCATAAAACTTGGAAGGCCAGATATTTGCGCTTGAAGCCTCCACGTCAGTGACCTCTGCTGCTATAACTAAGGCTCAGTCATTCTTTCGCCATGTCTACGCAGGCCGTCGCCATGGATCGAGCGCCATTGTTTGGCTCGTCAGCCACCGAAACAGGCACGATAGATGAACGTGAAGGCCTGACCAAGTCGGCCTCCTTGTATGGAGACGAGGAGGAAGGAAAGAGAGGTTCTGTCGATCACACCGACGACGATGATGACCATCCAGACGACCATCTGCTTGACTCTGGGTCCGAAAAAACACAAGAACAGCCGGCCAGCTTTCGGATCGCGCTCCTATGGATGGTCATCAACACTGTGGCAACCATCTGCATTGTGAGAGATCCAGAGCTTGGTTCTCTTTAATCACGACACTAATGCAGTGTGCTAGGTCTTCGCGAACAAGGCCATCTTCTCGGATCCATCATTGAAGCTTTGCCAGTTGACGTTTGCCGCCTTCCACTTCTTCGTCACCTGGCTCACACTGCACCTTCTCTCCCGACCTTCTCTTGCCCTGTTCGTCCCCCGGCGAGCTTCGATCAAGACACTGATCCCTTTGTCTGTGGCAATGAGCCTGAACGTCATCCTTCCCAACTTGTCACTCGCCTTCTCCTCGGTCACTTTCTACCAGCTCGCCCGCATTCTTCTGACGCCGACTGTGGCACTCATGAATTTCGTGCTCTACCGGGCCACCTTGCCCCCTGCTGCCATTGCCGCCTTGATCCCGGCGTGCTTTGGCGTCGGCATGGTCTCCTACTATGATACACGACCTACATCGGATGCTGCAATCCACAGCACATCTGTGCTTGGTGTTGTTTTCGCTTTCACAGGCATTTTTGCCTCTTCACTATACACGGTCTGGATTGCCAGCTATCACCGCAAGCTTGAGATGTCAAGCATGCAGCTGCTGCACAACCAGGCGCCGATTGCTGCCTTTCTACTTCTATATGCCATTCCCTTCGTGGACAACTTTCCAGTATGGTCAGAGGTGGCTCTTCCGCGATGGATTCTCATCTTGATCGTACGTTGTACATCTCTCGACCTGGATCCTTTTTCAAGAACTGACGAAATCCACAGTCTGGTCTTTGTGCCTCTCTTATCAACATCTCCCAGTTCTTCATCGTTGCTCAGACTGGTCCGGTCTCGAGCACAGTGGTGGGCCACGTCAAGACTTGCACCATTGTAGCCTTGGGCTGGATGATCTCCGGGCGAGGTGTTGACGATGCTTCTATTTTCGGCGTGCTCATTGCCATTGGAGGCATTGTTGCGTAAGTGAACCTCCGCGCCAAGCTCCTAGTACGTTTGAGTCTGACATGATACAGGTATTCTGCGGTGATGCTTAAACATAAAGGCAAAAGCTAGTGCCATTTCCATCTGAGTGCCACACGAGCCAAATCGGAATTTGGCAGGCACTCGTTGATTGTAAATACACTGACAGGTGGGGTTTGAGTGGACCATTGATTTCTTGGGCAGGCGAACTGCAGGGGAGGGCGTCTGAAATGGCGTTCACGATCGGGTTTTTAGTGTTCGAGGGTTGTACCAAGAACTAGTTCAGATAGGAGCAACGACAAGGGGTTGAGACAAGCTCTTCGCATGTTTCGCGATCGTGGGCCTCAATGACCGAGACACTGCCGTACATCTCGTGTCGAAAGCTTGCAATATGTCATACGACTCGTAGGGGTATTTGATTTTACAGGTTGAACCTCTTGCGGTCCTTCTCCATCTTGCCCTTCCACTCCCACTGCAGGGCATCCTCGCCCTCGCTGCCGGCGCGGCCGACACCCTTGTCGACTCTCCGCAGCTTGAGGGTAAAGCGAGGCCCGACTTCCTGGCACTTTTGTCAGACAAGGTCTTGCGGAGGCTGTTCCGAGGAATACTCACTTGCAGGCCAACCCTGATGCCCTCGACGCCCTCGAGGTCCTTGCCCTCGGCGGTCGTGATGTTCTTCTCGGTCGCGCGCTTGTCGCGGAAGACGTAGCGGTGGCGGCGCCAGAAGAGATAATCGCGCTGGTTGTGTACCGTCAGGACCTGGCGGCCGACAAACTCGGGCTGTGGTGGGAAACTAAGGGGGGTTGGCGCATTTTCACGTTAACAACTACTCTTCCGGGCAGATGACCGTGACCAGCAGCAGGGCGCGGGGGGACTCACAGTGTCTGGAAGAGCTTGGCCGTCAGCATGCCGAGGGGGGTCTTGAAGTTGTTGAGCAGCAGTTCCGGGTAGGTGGGTTGGTGGGGGTTTGCCGTGGCCGGGGCAGTTTTCTTGCCCCTCCATAAAAGTTGGTGACGGGAGAAGGGTAAAGGTTCGGGCCGGAGGGGGAGGTGGGACGACGGTCAGGCCCGGGTGAGGACCTTTTTGGTCCCTCGCGCAGCATGACGACGGCGGGTGTACTCGCGATTGGGCGGCGAAGCGGCTGATCTCGCGGAGAGAGTACTTGTGGCCGTAGTGGGTGTTGGGGTGCGGCGGATGTAGTTGGAGTTGGGGGAAAGAGGGTGCAGAAGACGTCGGCCTCGTGGTGGAGGGTCGAGTTGAGGGGATGTCGTGATGAGGATCTTTGGGAGGCGGCGGTGGGATGTCTGTGAAGAGGGTCGGGAACTTTTGTCGACAGCGAGGAGGGGGTGAGGTCGAGGTTTGTGCTGGTGGTCGAGGGTGCCATGCTGTCGTCGCGTTTCGCGCGCTTCTTCTTCTCCTTCTTCTCCTCGAGCTTGGCCTGCCGTTCCTCGTCGTCCTCGTCACCCGAGTCAAGCATGCTGTCGTTGTCGTCCTCTTCGTCGTCTTCCTCCTCATCGACCTCCATGGCTTCATTGGCAGCCCGCTCCTCCTCCTCGAGCCTCCGCCTCTTGAGCTTCTCGACGTCGACAATGGCGCCCAGGCTGTCGTCGTCGACATCGTCCCACACTCGCTTCGTCTCGAGGGTCTGGGGCTTGTTCTTGGCGAGTCGGGCTTCGCGAAGCTCAGGGTTCTTGGCCTCCTCTTTCCTGCGGCGGTGTCGCTCCTCGTGTCGCTGCTTGTCCTTGACCTTCTTGTCTTCGATGAACATCTGCTTGCGCCTCATCTTGTTGCTCGTCTTCATGGACAGCGAGGCCCCGGAGGACCGGTTGCCGGCTTTCTGTGAACCCATTGTGTCGGATTGCCTGCCGTCTGTCGAGGGTGCGGTGGCCGTCTGAACGTGATTCGTACACGCAGCGAAGTCTTTCTTCAGGCCCTTGAAGAAAATAGTAGGCTGGGCCAGAGAAATTTTAGCGGGGCTCTCCAACATGCTTCGCATTAGCGGGGAGGGCCCTTTCAGACCTGACTAGGATGCCAGTGACGGGGGAAAATCAATGTTCATGTCAGATTCCGAGGAATTGCCGACATGGCATCGCGGGGCCTGCAGCAAAAAGCCCAGGCCAAGCAAGGGAACAGCAATTTTCGTTACGGGTAGTGATGCTCCACGTCAGATCAGGGTAAGGTATACGCGCAAACACAAAACAAAGAGTCACACGCCTGCAGCAGCCGTCCCGTCCAAACCCCCCGATTGAAGCTACCGACCCCCTCTATCGTTCATTGCCCTGTAGCCAGCAACGGCCAGCGAGCAGCAGCCAGCGAGCAGCAGCTAGCGACCAGCAGCCAGATGCCTCACTGCTCCAAGAGTGGCCAGGGCCGATGACTCACCCACAGCCTGCTGCCCCCCCATTCGTCTAGTTCTAATGAAGCTCCTTCGCCTTCTCACCACCCCACCACGCACCACTTCAATTCGTTCCGCTCCTAGCTTCTGCGAAGTTCGGCAGGCCACTTTTTTCTACCCCTCCCCCTCTTCGTGCTCGCGGCGTCTCTTTTCGTCCACAGCCCACCATCCCCGAACACAGGTTCTGGTCTCCCGCAAGAACCAGAAAGATCGCAACAAGATGTCTTCGACCGCCACCACCCTCAAGGGCCAGCCCCTCGACCGCCCCGTGCTCGATGCCCTGCTGCGTCGCCGCATGTTCTTCACCCCCTCCTTCGAGATCTACGGCGGCGTCGGTGGCCTCTTCGACTACGGCCCTCCCGGCTGCGCCCTGCAGGCCAACATAATCGATGTGTGGAGGAAACACTTTATCCTCGAGGAGGACATGCTGGAGGTCGACTGCACCGTCCTGACCCCGCACGACGTCCTCAAGACGAGTGGCCACGTCGACAAGTTTGCCGACTGGATGTGCAAGGACCCCAAGAACGGCGACATTCTCCGCGCCGACCACTTTGTCGAGGACGTCCTCGAGGCACGCCTCAAGGGTGACAAGGAGGCCCGCGGCCAAAAGGTCGAGGAGGTCGACGACCCCACCAAGAAGAAGAAGCGCAAGCAGAAGACGGAGGCCATCAAGCTGGAGGATGCCGTCGTCCAGGAGTACGAGGAGGTTCTGGCCAAGATTGACAACTACAACGGCGAGGAGCTCGGCGAGCTCATTAAGAAGTTCGACCTCCGCAACCCCCTCACCGGTGTCCAGCCCTCGCCCCCCGTCTCCTTCAACCTCATGTTCCAGACCGCCATCGGCCCCAGCAGCAACCTCCCCGGCTACCTGCGTCCCGAGACGGCCCAGGGCCAGTTCCTGAACTTCGCCAAGCTCCTCGAGTTCAACCAGCAGCAGATGCCCTTTGCCTCGGCGTCCATCGGCAAGTCCTACAGGAACGAGATCTCGCCCCGTGCTGGTCTCCTGCGTGTGCGCGAGTTCCTCATGGCCGAGATTGAGCACTTTGTCGACCCCGAGGGCGGCAAGAAGCACCCCAAGTTTTCCGAGGTCGAGAACGTGGAGCTCGCCCTCCTCGCGCGCGACGTCCAGCTCGCCGGCAAGACCGATATCAAACATGCCACCATTGGCGAGGCTGTCAGGACTGGCATGGTCGACAATGAGACTCTCGGCTACTTCATCGCCCGTATCGCTCTCTTCCTGAAGAAGATTGGTGTGGATATGTCCAAGGTTCGCTTCAGGCACACATGCTGAACGAAGATTGGCGCACTACGCCACCGACTGCTGGGATGCTGAGCTTCCTCATCTCGTCTGGCTGGATCGAGTGCGTTGGCTGTGCCGAC